CCTTGAGCCTTAAGCTAGCCCACTGGGTCTTCAAATCATGAGGTAAAAATACAAGAATTTTCTTTCAGAGTCATTTCCTATCTTAGACCCCTCCCCCCAGATCTGGGTTCAGAAGCCCCCACCACTAAGCTTTTCCCAAAAACTCTAGTGAGGAACCAAACTTCTTTGCCGCAGACCTCTGTCTAAAAGGTACCCTTGACTCAAGAAAATTCTTTTTAAAATCAGGCTTGATTGGAGTTCTTCAAGTCCAAACTCAGGCTTCACTGGATTCCTTCTTATCCCGCCGGTGGACACCAATTGTGGCCTTCACCCTCGTGCCCCTTGCTTGACCGTCAAGACTCAGAGTACTCGAAGGCAAACAATCCCCTCTTTTACATTGCTGCCACCAGGTGATCACTAAATCACCATTACCTCAGGAAGATGAAGATTCAGTTCCACACCTCAAAGACTTTTAAATATAACTTTTGTATATTGATTACATAAATTGATAGTGATTCATGAATATCTTCTTTTCGTACATTTATTATTAACAACTATCTTCTATTTGATAATACACTCCTAACTCTAATCACCTCTCAGGTTTCCCCAAACTCCCCATTCTATCCCCTTCTCCACTCTCCCACTCTACTCATACTCTCTGACTGTCTCTTACTCTCTCTGACTCCCTCTCAGGCTCCACCTCTTATCACATCTCTCTCGGCTCTGCCTCTCAGCAACATGAATATGCATGAACAATTAACATAACAGAACATGAACCATTGACATAATAAAGGGGGACGCTACACTGGGTTATGTTGCTAGTTCTGTCCCCAAATCACCACTTGTTTGGCCCAATAGCCTGAAGCCTCTTCCGGGGTGTGTGTGTTACCCATGAAGCCCCTTCCACGTTATCGGGCTTCAAGTTAGGCAGAAAAAAATCTTCACAAGTACAGTCGGTTCACCCCATTGATCAGTGCACAGAGATCAGAGGTGGGGTGGCTCTGTTCTTACCTGTTCTCCTAAAAAGAGGGATTATAATCTCTGCCGAATGTCAGGCAGAACTTCCCTCTCTTTTTCCCTCCCCACAGTTCCCCTGCTTGCTTCAGATCAGTAGATGACTAGAGCTCAGGAGTAGTCTGACTTCAGCTTTCCTTCCTTCAGAGGTTGATCATGATTTTTGATAGTCCCCTTTATTTGTTCCCTCAAATTCCATAACCATGACTCTTAGACAAGCTCCCAAGAGAAGGTTCCGCTTTTAAAAATACAGTACATTCTGAGAAAATAATCTCTGAAGTTTTAATTTAGAAACTCTCCCAAGGACCCATCCCAGTTGCATAAAGCCCATACTTTGCCAGGTCATGTGTCTGTTGGGAATGTGGGGAGTGTGCAAGGGCCTACCTGTGTGGCATCTGGAGCAGAGGGAAAAAAGAGGGCTCCCCTCAACTCACTGGGGATTCCTTGGCAGATCCATATTCCCTCCTCCTGCAGAAAGGACTGTGCCCATTGTGCTCAGGGGAAAATAATAACAGAAGCCACAGCCCAAAGAGCTAATTTACACTCTACAGCCACATGTACAGTTGGAATTTCTTTAAGTGCTGTTTTGGATGCTTCCTGCTGCAAAAAGTGTCAGGAGTTAGATTGTTTGGCTTTTGGAAGTTTGTTTTGTTTTGTTTTTTTGGGGGGGGGGAGGTCGGCTGAGAAAATATCAATGAAAATTCTGCCCACATATGCGGTTCTCTTCCTCACATGAAATCCAACGTTCTGGATTATGCACAGATGCTCCAGTCTGGAATTGAATTTTTTTTCAAGGGACGATAGTTACAGTGGTGCCTCAACTTCTGACCATAATCTCTTCCAGAGGATGGTTGTAAATCGAAATGGTCGTAAATCGAAGCACCATTTCCCATAGGAATACATTGAAATGCAATTAATCCGTTCCGGCCAAAGAAAAAAATCACCAAAAAATCACTGAAAGACTCATTGGAAACAATTAATCCCTTCCAGCTGAAGGGAGAAAAACAAAAGCAATCAAGCATGCAAGATCCATTGGAAATGCACAGAAAACAAATGGAGCAGGTCAGAAATGCAAAGAAAACAAAGGAAAAAAGGGAAGCATGCAGGACCATCATAAATGGGGAACCCCTCCAAGCAACCAACCCCCCCAAGACCCATTGGAAATGGGGGGAGCCAACAAACAAACAAAACCCCCCAGACCCAGCACAGCACAGAAACATAACTCCCCCCAGCTCAAAACCACCCAGAACAGTTGTAAAAAGCAGAAAACAGCACCTTATCTAACCAGGCAGCCCGAAGCCTCCCTGCAAACACACACACACACTCACTAAGAAGCAGAAGGAGGCAGTCCCAAGCCTCCTCCGAGGACTCACTCTTAAATGCTGGGGCGAAAGAGCTACAAAGAAGTAGCCTTGTCGCCACCTATAGTTAGAAATTTGAATTTCCCACCTTTTCCTCTGCCCTTTTTCTGTTTGTAAGTGGAAGCTCCGATCGCAAGTAGAAGCAAAATTTTGTGGCTGGAGCTGGTTGTAATGGTCGTAAGTCGGGACGGTCATAAGTCGAGGCACCACTGTATCTAAAACACTGCTGGCATCTAATATTTCTAAAATGGTTTCTAGAACAGTAACTATATATGCATCTATAATATTCTAACAGATAGACCTCCTATACGGATTCTGAAGGACCTGGGACCATCGAACATTGAGATAGAACTGAGAGGCTTGTCTCCTGATGGCGGGGGATCTGTCGAGGTGATGCAGAGCTTTCTAAGAATGATTGAGGCGATGCTGAATACAAAGTGTGACTTTGAACTGGCTCAAGCCTACCTTGCATTGTTTCTTAAGGTAAATGCAGATTTTTATATTTTTGTCAGTGTCGTGCCATGGAGCCCAGTTTGCTCTACACAGAACTTCAGATTCCAGGGCTCCCTAGGGCTCCTTTTTTTTTTGCCCTGGGAAAGCCTTGAGGAGCCTTGGGTGGTGGGAGTCTTTCATAGTCAAAAATCTCCACCATTCCCAATCCAGCAATGATTTGTGACTGTTAAAGGCTCCCTTTGCCTTCTTGTTCTGAGGCTCCCAAAGACTTCCCCAGGGCCACATAGAACCGTAGGGAAGGACTGGGAGTAGCGACGGGGGAGAGGGGGGCGATTAGGAAGCTTTCAGTTCTTTGAACTGATTATTTCTGGCACTCAGATCCAGCTTAACTGTAAGAACAGGGTCTTGTCCATTATATTTTAATATTATTGTTTTATTAGCTGCTTTGGTTGCCCAAAAGAACAACTAAATGATTTAATAGCATTTACCACTTCTTACTTTAATGGAACTGTATCCCAATGGTTAATCATAGGGTTTACTCCTTGAAAAAGGTGAGCATGTAGGAAATGCTTAGATTTTGGTTTGATTAATTTATGAGATGTCGGCTTTAGAGGAGTAGCTGTAGGGTTTCATTAGTTAGTACAGATTGTGATGTGGTGCTTAATAGCATAGGTTGTCTAAGTAGTGTCTCGTTCTTAAAATGTTTAAATAATTTTTAAATAATGTACTTTTATATTCCTGTTTCAGTTACATCTTAAAATCCTTTCCTCGGAGCCAGTTTTGTTGGCAGAATTATCCAGGCTGTCACCCCAGCTGGAGGAAATCTGGATCCATTTGCAGACTCTTTTCAACCAAAGCCTTTGCATTTTAAATTATGTTAAAACTGCTTTATTATAATGTACCTTTTGTTCTGTAAGAATCAAGATGTTGAATCTCCCCTTTCTTTTATAAAATCTGTCTAATTATGAATACTGAGCACCAGGTTTTTAAAAAGTTAACTGCATTTTGTTCAAACTGACTTCACTTTGTTCAATTTAAATTTGAATTTCTGCCTGGATGAAAGTGTGGGATAATTATTTATTATTTATAATAAAAATAACATGAGTTTAAGATGTGAAAAGACAGTAATCTAGAAAAAAATTGAAGACGGCAGGAAAAGAAGACAACTGAAAATTAAGCGGGTTGACTCAGGAAGCCACAGCCTTGACTTTGGAGTTGCTGAGCAGGACTGTTAATGAAAGGACTATCTGGAGGCTACTCATTGACATGGTTGCTGTAAGTCAGAAGTGGCTTGACAGCATATAACAAGATCAGAGATCTAAACTTTCGTATGCTGAAAAACACTTTTTCTGTTGTGGAGAAAAACGTTCAGTTGCTGCAGATCTTAATCTTCTTAGGCTACAGTTTAATACACTGGCCAGTAAGTTCTGTTGGGGTTTACTTCTGAGTAGATATGTATAGAATTGAATAGTACATTCATAATACAATTTTTAGCCCAGTCTAAGTATTTGCAAAAATTGTATATAACACGCTATGCAGCAAAAAAGTGATTGGAATGTTGTATACCATGGAACACATGGTCCAAGAGTATCAACCGTAGAACATCTGTCCCCATCCCCTCAGTCCCTTTAAGGGTTATTGTAGGGTCATTCACAACATTTTATTCTTTTTAAACTGTGATAACTTGGTGGACAAATCAGGAATTGGGAATATTGATCCCCACAGGTACCAATGTGATGTAGTGTGGTGGTTCCCAACCTTGAGTCCCCAGACATTCATGGACTACAACTTTCAAACAACCTTGTGAGCACAGCTGGTGGTGAAGGCCTCTGGGGGTTGCAGTCCAGAAACATCTGGAGACCCAAGGTTGGGAACCACTGGTGTAATTGATAAAGTGACAGAGTAGGAGTCTGCAGAGCACGGTTTGGATTTCCAGGCAGCCATGGAAACTCACTGTGGGGGAGTGGAACTGGTAAAACCATTCCTTAAATATTTCATTTACCTTGAAAGCCTTATTAGGATTGCTGTAAGCCGGTTGCAACTTGACAGCACATAACTAAGAATACAGAATACAAATAGATTTGCACACACAAATTGAACACATTTTTCCTGTTTTGGAGGGTTCTTAATGTTGTGTGGTGGATAGAGTGACACACTGGAACTTAGGAGGTCTGGCTTCAAATCTCTGCTCAGCCATGGGAGTTCATTGGGAGTGTGGAATTGGTAATGTTACTCCTTAAATATCTCACTCGCCTTAAAAGCCCTGTTAGAGTTGCTGTAAGTCAGTTCTGACTTAACAGCAAATAACAACAGGAAGAAAACAGACTTGTACAGCAGCAACAGAAAAGAGCCAAATGCAGGTCCTCACAGGACTCCTTGGAATCTTCTAGAGCTTAAAAACTTTTGATTAGTAGGACGTTTCCCCGCGCATGTTCCGCCCGCCCGTAATACCTCAGTTTCTTTTTGCTGTCACTGCGATCGAACTCTTTCGTGCCTAGAGCTGTTTTTTCCTATTCTGGTTTTTGATTCTGGTCTGGTTTATCGACTATTGTTTCTAATCTCTGAAGAATTTTGATTTATGGACTGACTACGGTATACAGTTTTCAGATTTTGGATTGGCTGCTGTTTGTTGTTTCTGGGCTATTCTGACCTTTGAACTACTTACCATTTGTGATTTTGGATTACGGACTTTATTGTGAACAATTTGGTGTCTGATCTTTTGGCTTTTGATCTTGAACAGACAATCCTTGACGTTTTCCCGTGAGTCTTCCCTTTTTCCCCGTTCCCCCCTTTTCTCTTCTCCTGTTCCTACCAATTTTATGGCCTCATCAGGTCCCTTTAAGCATTGTACGTTGTGTGCCAACAAGATCCCTTTCACGGATGGCCACGACTGCTGCTTATTTTGTTTGGGTGAGAGGACCAAACTCACTCCTGTCCGGAGGTTAAAAAGTTGACCAAACCTGCCCTTAAGCTCCATTTACAGAGGCTTTGTTTGTATTTGTGGGAAAAATCACTCACACCTTTGAGCCAGGCAACCATGGAGGCTACCTTGACTCCTGCTCCTCACACTCCTCGTCCCGAGCCCACTGCTTCACCAGCTCCTGCTACCCTGTCTCCAAGGTTATCTTCGAAGGCATCTAAACCGAAGAAGTCTTCGGCATCGATGTTGATCTTGATGTCAAAATCACCATTCATGAAATATCCTAAGAAAAAGATGTTGTTAAACAGAAGAAGGCGAAATAATCTTCTAAACCTACTCAACCTCGACAACTTCCTCCAATATGAGTCTCCCTTCCATCTCGGGTACTTGAGGAGTCATCTCGGGAATTGCCAGATCTGAACTCCCTTTCTGAAGGGGTCAACTTGACACCACCACTACAAGCTCAAGCTTCGGTATCGATACTTAGTGTTTCTCCCAGTCATGGCTGTTCTAAGGCTGGTGTTATCTCCAGCCCAGCCTCGGCCCATTCTAGCCCTATGTCAATCGGGCGGACAACAGTGATACAGTTATTGAATTTGGAGGTGTCCCCACGGCAGTCCCCTCCACGTAAACGACTGGCGAAATGTTCAGAAGCTTCCCGCTTATTTTCACACCCAAATTTAGAGAGGTTCCTGAGGGGTTTGTGTAACATTCGCCCACCTGTCTAGCCTCCGCTCCCTCAATGGTCTCTCCAGGTCATTTTATGGGCTTTTACTCACCCAGCTTTCGAGCCCATGGCTTCTGCTCATCTTAAACTTCTCTTGATTAAAACTTTGTTTATCATGGTTATTCTGCATGGAGAGCAAGCGAGTTGTCTGCCCTTCGGGCTGATGCCCCTTATATACATTTTCACCCGGACAAGGTTGTCTTATATCCTGATGTGTCTTTTCTCCCTAAAGTGATTTTGAGTTTCCACGTTAATCAACCACTGATTCTCCCGACGTTGTTTCCTAATCCTTCTTCTGATGTTGAGCGCATGCTCCATTCCTTAGATGTTCATCGTGCCTTGGCTTTTTACATTTCCAGAACTAAGGACTTCTGTACTACTCCTAAACCATTTGTCTGCTTCCATGGCCCACGGAAAGGCTCTGGCCTCTCGACAGACGGTTTCCAAGTGGATCGTTTCTGCTATCACCTTGGCCTATGAACTGGCTGGCAAGGGACCACCAGAGGCATTGAAGGCACACTCCATGAGAGCTATGGCTACTTCAACTGCCTGGTTGCATGGCATTGAGCTCCCTGACGTTTGTCGAGCGGCCACATGGTCCACACCATCCACCTTTGTGATGCATTACCGTCTGGACGTCAGGGCAAAAAAAGGAAGCAAGTTTTGGAAAGACTGTGCTGACTTCGTTGCTGGCATAATGGCCCTCTGGTAAGTGAGCTTGCTAGTCACCCATTTGTGTGGATTCACAGAGGCCACAAAGAAGAAAGAGAGGTTATTTACCTGTAACCATAGTTCTTCAAGTGGTCCTCTGTAAATCCACACATCCCACCCATCCTCCCCGCTGTCCATCACCTAAGTTCTTGAGCTTTGTTGCTATTAGAGCCTTGACAGTGGTGGACATTTCGGAACTGAGGTATTACAGGCAGGCAGAGCATGCGCACCAGAGAGAACGTCCTACTAATCACATATTTTTAAGCTATAGAAGATTCCGAGGAGTCCTATGCAGGCGCACCCATTTGTGTGCATTCACAGAGGACCACTCAAAGAACTATGGTTCTGGCCTCTCGACAGACGGTTTCCAAGTGGATCGTTTCTGCTATCACCTTGGCCTATGAACTGGCTGGCAAGGGACCACCAGAGGCATTGAAGGCACACTCCATGAGAGCTATGGCTACTTCAACTGCCTGGTTGCATGGCATTGAGCTCCCTGACGTTTGTCGAGCGGCCACATGGTCCACACCATCCACCTTTGTGATGCATTACCGTCTGGACGTCAGGGCAAAAAAAGGAAGCAAGTTTTGGAAAGACTGTGCTGACTTCGTTGCTGGCATAATGGCCCTCTGGTAAGTGAGCTTGCTAGTCACCCATTTGTGTGGATTCACAGAGGCCACAAAGAAGAAAGAGAGGTTATTTACCTGTAACCATAGTTCTTCAAGTGGTCCTCTGTAAATCCACACATCCCACCCATCCTCCCCGCTGTCCATCACCTAAGTTCTTGAGCTTTGTTGCTATTAGAGCCTTGACAGTGGTGGACATTTCGGGACTGAGGCATTACAGGCAGGCAGAGCATGCGCACCAGAGAGAACGTCCTACTAATCACATATTTTTAAGCTATAGAAGATTCCGAGGAGTCCTATGCAGGCGCACCCATTTGTGTGCATTCACAGAGGACCACTCAAAGAACTATGGTTACAAGTAAGTAAACTCTTTTTGCACACACAAAAAGTTTCTGGAAGCCCAGGTCTGCTTGTAAACAAGATACATGTGTATAGTGTATTTGGTTGGAGGGTGGGGGTGTCCTTTAAAGCAGAAACATATTTTCATTGTTGCAGCAACAACAGCTGATGGTGCCTTCTGGGATGGCAATCCAGTCCAAAAACCCCAGAAATTGTCCACTTGTGGTGTTTCCTCCAGCCCCATGACTGGCAGATTTCAACACTGACTGTTCTGAAATAGGTGGGTAACTTCCAGAGGCATCTGACCCTGGGGCCCAAAACACCTCCCCCCAATAGTCAATAAGGGCCTTTTTATAATATGTTTTATGTGGATGTGAAGTAGCTAATCATGCCCCGGAGGGCACAGTTACCTTTTCTGCATATTCCGGCCCCCTGCAATTGCAAAGTATTGGGACCTAGGTGCTTTGAAGGGACTTAACCTCCCATCCCTGTTCTAAAAGGTTACTTTGAATTTTAGGTTCTTCTTCGTGGCCTCTGTGAATGCACACTAATGGGTTAAATCTGCACTTGTGCAGAGGCCTCGGAATATTCTAGAGCTTAAAGTAACACTTTTGGCTCCGCCCCCCAGGACCTCATGGTCCGCCCGCCCTAACAGTTACCTCAGTTCCCCAAATTCCGCTGCTGCTCTAAGGTGAGACAGCCGTGACGGAAAGAGGGGAGGACGGGCGGGACGTGTGAATTCACAGAGGACCACTCGAAGAACCAGAGTTACAGGTAAGTAACCTTT